ATAAGACATGTTTTCTAACCCTTCAATCATTCACGTGGCTCTTCTTTGACCCCTCTCCAATTTACTAACATCCTTCTTGATTTGTGGACACTGGAGCTAGAGACAGTATTCCAGCAGCAGTTGCACTAGTGACTCTCTATTCCTACTTGAGATTCCCCTGTTTATGCATCAAAAGATTGCATTAGCTCTTTTGGCCACAACTTTGCACTGGGAGCTCGTGTTCAATTGATCTGCCCCTCAACCAAACCATTTTTTAGAGTCACTGCTTCCCAGGATAGAGTCCCCCATCCTGTAAATATGGTGTACGTTCTCTGTTCCTAGGTGTACACATTCCTGATGCTATTATATGATGGAAACACATATTTAGGCATGTACACAAGAAAAACGCCCATGTACAGAGAGAGGAACAGAAGCACACACAGCATGCAAACTGAGACGGAAGCATTACAAAAACCCAGATCTGGCATATGGATCCTGCCAGATCCAACCAATTTTTGGCCTCCACTGAAATTCCACAGCATCAACAGAGAATAAGTATAGCCACTCCCACTATACCCAAAAATTCCAGATTGTGATGAATTCTGGTGCATAACCCCTGCAATAACCTGACTCTAGCACCTGGATCCAGATGGATATTGGCAATTGTTTGCCTCAAACCCCAAACTGTACAATCTAAGTAGATAACAAGTTTAGCTGCTCCTGTTTCAGTGGAGAAATCTGTATGTACTCTGATGGATCCCAGATCAACAGCCCTGAAAAAAACTCACATAGCTGGTGGATCCTGCCAATTTTTAACCTCAATCCCTTAACTTGTGTTGTCTATAGTATGTGTGTGTGTGTGTGTGTGTGTGTGTGTGTGTATATATATATATATAATTCCTAGGGCACCGAAAAACTCAGACCCTGCTGCAAACTGGGGCAGCAGTACCAATGGAAAAATGTATCCGCACAAAGTCAGCTGGATCCTACCATTGTTTGGACCCAAGCACCTAATTCATCAAAATAGACAACACGTTACCATTCCCGACTTGGCTAGAAAAATCCAGGCTCTGACAAAGCTCTGTGTAAAAACAATGCAAAACCACCTATTTAACAGCTAAGTCTTGCTGCATTCAGCACCCTTTTGGGCGATAAACTTCTAAATTCTACTACGGGGAGATCAAGTGCAGCTGCTCCTACTCTATCTGGTCCCTGATAACTGGATGGATCCAGCGGGTTCCATGTGTTGGATCTGAGTTTTTGCAGTGCTGCTGTGCCCTAGGCCGGTTTTTGTTGTTGGGTTTTGTTGTTGTTGCAGTTGGACCCGTCATCCCTTTAGCTGTTAGGTTAAACTGTAGGGACCGATGGGGCAACATTTGGCTGGATCCAGGGGTTTGCCTTGGGTTTTTCCAGGACGCATGTGCTAGGATCTAGAATGTTTTGCTGCAGTTGGAGCCGCATTTGTCTTGACCTGATTTGGGGTTTTTAAGATTTGGAGCTTCACGGCCAAATCTTGGCTGGATGCAGCTGCAGGATCTGGGGTTTTAACGCGCCCTTGCTGCGGCTCTGGATTTGCTTGGTCCAGTGAGGACCTTTGTTCTCTATTCTGATGGTACAATTTGGGGCTAAACAATCTGCAGGACGGAGGCAGGTAGCTGAAGCTCAGAGGGAGCCAGCTTTCCCCTCTGCAGGCAATGTTTGAGCGGCGCTAACAGAGCCCCTTTCCGAGTCTCCTGGCGGTGCCGGCCGGGCGGGATGCTGGTGGGGCGGGGTGGCCAGGGCACGTCACTGGGGGCGCGCTCTAGGCCCGGGATAAATGGCTGGGAGCAAAGGGGAAGCAAGCGCTGAGCTCCTGGCACGGGCAGCTGCAGGGAGCAGGAGGGGGGCTTCGAGAGGCCGGAGCGAGCGCAGGAAGGGGACTCCCACGTCCAGAGCGGAGGGCAGGGAAAGGGTCTGCGCTGAGGGGCTGGGACTGGTGCACAAACTTCTCGCAGAGTTTGCAGGCGCAGCCTCCAGCGCGCCCCGGCTCCTGCTCAGCTGCCCGGGCAAATCCGGCGCGTCTCCCGGCTCTGCGAGGCGGGGAAGAGACGCGGGCGGGCGGCGGACCGAACTCGGCTGTGGCTGGGTGGCTGCAGCCTGGACCTTGGTGTCCGAAAGGCCGGGAGAGGTAAGGGCTTGGCTCCGCCTCGCTTGGGAACGGCTCCGCGCCTTTCAGCCCTGACTCCCGCAACAATCAGCAGCGCCCCAGCGGCGACCCTGCCGCCCCCCCCCCCTCCGACCTGCGGTTCTTCCCACGCACGAGTCGGGGACTTCCCGGGGAGACCCAGCTCCCCGCCTGGCTTTTTGTCCAGTTCGCCTCGCCTTCCCAGCCGGGGCCGTGTAACAAAGGGCCTGAGGAGGGAGGGGCAGGGGGAGAGCTCCAGGTCTGACCTGCTGGAAGATTTAACTCTCCGCAGAGTTGTTGCTCCATCGCGCGCTCACAGGACGCGTGCTGCTGAGAAGCAACTTTGGGGCAGCAGCAGTTGATTTGTCCTTAGAAGCCGGGCGGGTGTGTGGTTGAAATGCAGCCCAGGGAAGGCAGATGGATGGAGATATATTCATAGGAACGGGAGCCAAAAAGCCAGACTTTCTCATTTCAGCATCTTTATTTAATGTCTAACAGGTGTGGAAAGTGCAATTTGGCCCAGTAGTATAATACGATATATCTTCCATAGTGGAACATTGGGTATACTGTATCAGAGGGGTAGCCGTGTTAGTCTGAATCTGTAAACAGCAACAGAGGGTCCTGTGGCACCTTTGAGACTAACAGAAGTACTGGGAGCATAAGCTTTAGTGGGTCAGAACCTCACTTCTTCAGATGCAAGAGTATCTGGGTATACTGGGCACCTAGGCAGCTTCTCTGTTCATTTTCTTCAAGATGCCAAATGTTCCTTTCCCTGTCTACCCTCCACAGCTAGGTCCATAACTGGAGTGCTAGGGGATTGGTGTTACAGTGTTAATATATTTTGAATTGGGATGAGGGAGCTACTGTAGATAGAGAGCACTGCAGCTTTCCAAACGGTAAACCTTCAAGCAGTAGCAGGCATCAGAAGAACATTCTTGATGGGAGAACTGCATTTTAAAACCTTCTCTTAAAATAATTCATCATTTTTGTTCTGCAAGCATAATAAATAAACCCTGTTTGACTAACAGGTTTTAATAATCTAAGTTTTGTTGTTAAGTTTGGAGACTCAAAATATTTTTAAATCCTAAAACAAAAGCTTCTGATCATCAGATTTGATAGTTCTGATTTTTTTTTAAAGCATACTTCACATTCTTTTTTGGGGTTGTTTTCATTTTGGGAGTCGCTGCAAGCCCCTTTAGCTTGAAAACCGCTATATTTATACATAGGGATATTATAAGAGGACCTAATTCATTTAATCATCTAATTTAGATTGCTTAAAGGCACTATCAGATGAAGGCAGTTTATGAAAAAATTCCTTTTATTTATGCAGACTCTTAAGTGTGCTTTACATAACTACCTAAATGATCTTCAATTCATGAGGTCAAAGCCACAGTGTAAAGGATGGGTGTCTATGTTCTCTGGCATCCCTAAAAACCACACTGGCACACTCCCCTCCCAACTACAGTTTGACTTTTGTTATTTAACAGATTAATTCAGGCCAACACTTTAACCTCAGAATCACTTTACTCTCTCTTATGCCTTTGCAGCCAACAGACCTGGAAGAAAGATTTTGTCCTGGAATTAACCCTGGGGAGTCTTGAGGTCATTCATCATGAAGTGTGTAGCACAGGAATGGCTCAGAGTAACTGCCTTGCTATTCATAGCTCAAACAGTTTCTGCAATGGTTCTTCCCAATGGTACACTATTAGAGGAACTTTTGGAAAAGTACATGGACGAGGATGGTGAGTGGTGGATCGCCAAGCAAAGAGGGAAAAGGGCTATCACAGACAGTGATATGCAAAGTATCTTGGATCTTCATAATAAATTACGGAGTCAGGTGTATCCACCAGCTTCCAATATGGAATATATGGTAAGGATAAATTGATAGTGGTGTATAGAAAGAAATGTTAATGCAGTAGTTGCTGTCATTCTGTAAAATAGCATACTTTCAGTCATTGTTTCTTTGTGTCTGTTTTAAAACATTGTTATAAAAGGATGAAATGCAACACTATCTTCAGGAGTTAAAAGATAAGCAGGGTGCTAAACTAGAAACATTGCATTGCAAAATAACACAGGTTCTTCCTAGCTCCTAAACTGGTATATTTCTATGTTTAATATATTAGTATGTGATAATTTCCCTTAGTTTTTGGCCTATTTATTTATTTATTTATTTAGCCTCAATGTATATTTGGTAGTTGTTGAACCTAAAGCTTTCACTTTTCTTAACTTGTGAGGTGTGTTTTTTTTTAATAGGATAATTTAGGTTTCATTATGACTAGGGCCCTACCAAATTCAGGGTCCATTTTGGTCAATTTCTAGCTCATAGGATTTTAAAAATAGTCAATTTCATGGTTTCAGATGTTTATATCTGAATTTCAGGGTGTTGTAATTGTGGGGGTCCTGACCCAAAGGGAGGCCATGGAGGGGTGGGGGTAGTCACAAGGCCATTGTAGGGGGGGTTGTAGGATTGCCACCCTTTATTTCTGCGCTGCTGCTGGTAGGGATGCTGCCATCAGAGCTGGGCAGCCGGAGAGCAGTGGCTGCTGGCCGGGTGCGCAGCTCTAAAGCGAGCATCACCGCCAGAAGCAGTGCAGAAGTGAGGGTCACAGGACATGGGGAGTTGGTTACCATATGTTCCAGTTTTCCTGGCAGCCTCCTGTCAGAGTCCAGGGCTGACAGCCACCCTCACTTCTGCGCTGCCTTTAGAGCTGGGCTCCCAGCCAGCAGCTGCGGAGCTTCCTGCAGCCTGGGGAGGTTCCCAGAGATGGGGCTTCATGAGTGCCCCTGCATGGGAAGAGGAAGTCCCAGCCTTAATCAGCTTGGGCCGGGATTAGCAGCTGGAGCCTGGTGCACGGTAGGAGTCCCCGGCTGGGGCACTCACAGCCCTGCCCCTGCCCTCCAATAGCCAGATTTTGTGGTCCATGACACATTTTTCACAGCCAGGAAATTGGTAGGGCCCTATTTATGATCCTACTAACTTATTGGAGCACATTGGGAATACTAAAATTCTATCCTTGGAACTCCTCAAAAGGCCAGTGGCCTGACAAGAATGGGGCAATTGTATTATTACTCTTACATCTGCAGAAAAATTAACTTTTGTCACAATGTTCATGTTTTATTTTTTTTTTACTATACAAATATCAAGGAGATTGCATTATTATAGGCAGGGCTGATTGCACCCCTTTTACTAAGGTTGCCCAACAGTTCCCATCATAAGCTCCTGTTTCAGTTGCTTATAATTTAGCCAAACTTGAACTGCTCAGGCTGAAATTTTCCATGCCAGGTATCTGCCACAGGCTAGTGGGTTTTTTGTTAATTTCAGCCACAACAGTTCAGCCATATGCAAAAATGAGGCTAGGAAAAAATGTTTAGTTCTTGCTAGAAAATTCTGATGACCATTGAAAAGCATGCTTTCGAACAGGAAATTATGTTAAGGCAGTGCTTTTGTTATCCATGTGAAATCCACCCAAGTTTAAGACAAGTTAGAAGCCTTTGAAAAAAATCTCAATTTGCACATGCTCAGTAGAGACTTCTTAGAACTTTAGCAGCTAAAGTTTCTGACAATTCTATTTGTGCTGAACATTCTCCAGCGCGGGGCTGAGCAGGCCCTACTGTGGGCCAGGTTTGGGCATCTGAATTGAAAGCAGGAAGACAATTTCTTCTTTGCTGTCAATGACCCCAGTGCTGGGCTCAGGCCTGGAGGAAGAACCTTCCTTATTTGAATGCAGAGGGAACAATAGGCGGACCTGTGCAGGGTGGGGTGAGGTAGATGGGACAAGGAGCCGAGAGAGGGATTGAGACTGGGACTAGAGGCTAGTTGGTGGTGGGGCAGGAGGAACTGGGACTTGACAGGAAGACTGACTCAGAGCTGAGGGGGGACTGACTCACCAGGCAAAGAAATTGGAAGGCGGGACAGGAAACAGGTGAGGGAAGATACTGGATGAGGAACCTTGGCAGGAGACTGGAACTGGTTGGTCAAATAAACTGTGACAATGAAGTGGTGGGATAGATGTAGGTGGATGCTTGGTTGGATCAAGAGCCCAAGGAAGGAGTTTGGAACAGGGAGGTATTTAAGATAGGGAATGTGGGTGGGAGGTAGCTGGAGGCCAGGGTGGGGGAAAGAAACAGATTGGATGAGGAGCCAGGAAATGGGGACCTGAAACTTACTCAACAAGGAGACTTGGGACATGGTGCTAGGGGTGGGAGGGAACTAGGACTGGTTAGTCAAGAAGACTGAGACTAGGAAATTGGGGGACACTGGGACAGGGATAGAGAGTCAAGAGGGCTGAGACTAGGACTGGGTGGGCCAGGAGGCTGGGACTGGGATGGGAAAAAAATTTGAAGAGTAGAGACTGGAACAAGGAGAATGGGACTGGGATGTGGTGCCAGGGATGGGGAAGATATAGGAATGGGTCAGCAGGGCTTTGGAGCTGTGCTCTGGCTCCACTCCAGCTCCAGGCAAAAACCTGCAGTTCCCCTGCTCTGGAGCTGCTCCGGGCTCCGCTCCAAAGCCCGGATCAGGGACAGGTTGGGAAGGAAGTAATGGAAGAAGTTATGCTGGAGTGAAATGGACAGAGTCTGTTCCCACTAGAACACACTTCCCCCAAGAGCCTGGAATGGAACCCAGGTTTCCTGAGTCTCATCTATCCTTTCTCTGCTATCCACAAATATTTGTGAAACCCACTGGCAAAGCCTCTCATCCTCCTCTAGTGTTGGCCCACTTAGAGGGTAACAACTTACTACTGCTATCACTTACTCTGTTAGCTCAAGTGCCAGAGGTGCGTGTAGTGGATATAAAGGTTCCAATCCTGCTGATGACCCATGTGGGTGTCAATATAATGCTACATAGTGAGGTTTCTGATTTTTCAGTTTACTTTTTTTCATAACCTAGGAAATTACAAACAAAAAACAATGTTAAAAGAAAATAAGGTTGCAAAGTGAAGCAAACACTCAAAAGTTAGGAAATGCTATAATTAAGGTTAATTACCTTCTCCACTTGTAAAGTAACTCCCTTCTCTTCATGTGCCAATATATATTTATGCCTGTATCTGTTATTTTCACTCCATGCATCTGAAGTGGGGTTTTTACCAACGAAAGCTTATGCCCAAATAAATCTGTTAGTCTTTAAGGTGCCACCGGACTTCTCATTGTTTTTGTGGATACAGACTAACACAGCTACTCCTCTGATATAATTAAGGTTGCCTATGCAACCTTAATGCCACCCCTTGTGTGTATGTGTTACGATACAGTCTTTAATTATATGGTCAAATACACTAATTTTTCTACAGGACCACTGCCTAATTCACTGGCCAGGATGGATTTGCTCTGGGGATTCATAGATCAGGCCAGAAGGGACCACTGTGATCATTTAGTTTGATCTCCTGTGTAATACTAATAGGTCTTCCCCAAATTAATTCCTATTTGAACTAGAGCATATTTTTCTAGAAAAAACATCTTAACCAGGGTTGTTTAGTGTGGGACATTGTTGTCTGTAGGCATCCCTGCTTTATGTGTTGTCCAAGTTGGAAAGCATATAATGAAAGAGACAGGAGATAGCAGGAAGAGAAAGGATAGTCTCGTGGTTAGGGCAGTTGAATACAGTATACCCAGGCGAACTGAATTCTGTCCCTGCCCTTTAGACAGGTTTCCTGTGTGATTCTGAGCAAGGCATTTAAACCAAACTCTTATAGCGGTCACTAATTGTGTTTTCCTCATTTTCTGGGTGCCTGACTTGACACCATGGGGTCTGATTCGTGGAAGTGTTGAGTACTCACAGTGCAATGGAAGTCCATGGGACCTGTGTTTTGAACAAACAATGTTATATAATGTTAAGTACTCTGAAAAATCAGAGCCTGTGTGTCTCAAATTGGGCACCCAAAATTAGTGAACACTAATGAAATTAATCTTTATATGCCTCAGTTCCCCATCTGTACAATAGAAAAAATACCACCTCTCAGCGGTGTTGTGACAATAAATGCTCAAAATGAGTTAGGCTCCTAACTTCTATTTAGGCTTCTCACTTCCACTGATTTCAGTAAAAGTTAGGCTCAAATTCCTTTTGAGCATTCAGCCCTTAGATAGTATAGTGATGAGCAGGACCGTCCCTAGGGTGGTGCGGGGCCCGGGATAACCCCCAATTCTGGCCCAGGCCCCACCCCCACTCCACCCCTTCTCCCAAGTCCCTGCCCCTGCCTCTTCCTGCTTTGCCCCTGCTCTGCCCCCACCCCTATCCTGCCTCTTTCCAGCCTCCGCCCCCTCCCCCGAGCGATGCCAGGAGCCAGCCAGTCGGAGCAGGCTGGGTTTGGGTTGTTTGTTGCTGCTGGCACCAGGCCCCCCCCCGCTAACCACCCAGGCTGCCCTGGACCTAGTGTCCCAAAGCATGGGGCCCCCCAAAGCGCAGGGCCCAGGGCAGTTGCCCCGGTCTGTCCTATGGACAGGATGGCTCTGGTGATGAGCAGCAGAGAAAAGCTTGTGAGGAAATTAATAATGCCATCTCCAGAGCAGAGTTGAATTAAGTGCATTACGTAAAGCATGGGACTACATACTGAAGAAAAATATGAATACAAAGACTTGGATAGCTGTTTATTATTTGAATTCCATCCATTCTGTGCACTGAATGATGCCAGGGCCCTGTGGAAAAAATCGTATGTGATCATGTAATGACTGTATTGTAAGGCATAAACATCTTGTGTTGCACAGGCAATCTTAATTCTGGTATTTCCTAACTTTCGAGTGCTTGACTTTGCAACTTTAACATTTTTGGGGGTGGGGGGGGGAGTAGGTAATATGGTATATAAGAGAATTAAATGCTGAGACCATCAGTGCACATTTTCATGTTCCAAGACAACACACTTTAGTAATAGAAAAGAG